TTTAACTCTCTATGATTTACAGGTTATTAAGTGGCCTTTATAATTCCCTCCAGAGGTGGAAAGGACTAATGATGATGGTGTCTGAGCTCACAGCAGCAAGCAGGCGTGTGTGCTTAGCAGTCACGTGGCTCATCTGCTAGGAGCTTACTAAATATGATATTCTACAACATTGCTTAGCACAAGGAGAGACGCTCCTGACTCAGAGGATTTAATTACTCACCTATTTCTTTTTCTGCCCTCTTGGGCTCCTAAAATGAAAAGAACCCTGGGGTGATACAGTGAGTCAAAGGGGTGCCAGCCGCATCACAGCAAAATAGATTCCTAAAAAATCCCTGGCCTAGGATGACAGCCTTGGCTGGATAAGTTTGAATGTGCTGATAGTGGACATGGGCGAGTGAAGGTGGTTGAAATGTTCATATTAAAGAATCTCCACCCAGACTGCAAGAAGAGAGAGAGGAATGGAGATGGCAGCATGAGTTGCTACAATAAAAGCAGATGTTTTGAGATCACTTATATCTGTTCTGACAAAAATTAAAGACAGAAACCAAAATTTAGCCTGAGGCTAAAATTAATTGGGCAATAAGCCAGAGGCACATATGACATAGACAGATTTAAACATTTCTCCCTTATATTAATACAAATACTAAACTTACAAATAAATTGATTCCAAATAAAACAAATATTCAAAAATTTGATGAATAAACACTGGGGTCTACAGTAGTATTTAAAGGAGATCTCACAAACAGGTTTGGTTTTTGAAGGTTAGAACTGATGATCTAGAGAATTCATTTCATTCCAGAGAGAGAAAGGAGGAATTTCTTGGGTTCCTTCAGGAATGAGTCTAGCTTTGCCTCATCTTTGTTTGAACTATGGATACGGCAGAAGAAAACACGATGATTTCACCGATTGAAGGTGCAAAAAGTCACTGGGTTCTCTAAGAAGCCTGGGATTCTTCTGCAGGAAAAATAAGTTTGTTGAGAAAAAATGAGTTGAGGAGGCTGTTACTGAAGTGAAGCAGAATTGTTTTTACATAATCTGCTCATTACCCACTCTGTAGTGTGGATAAAAATTATTCAAGCAAAAGGTCCTCTTACTGTTCCTGGAATGCAGTGGAAAGAGAACAGATTAGTTTTTTAACCTTAGAACACAACCACTAGAAACGTTCTACCTCAGATGAGATATTGCCTAATTATTTTCAAAAGACAGTGAAAAGTGATGGATGTAAATATTTGCTACAAAATACATACATGCTAGAAACAGAAGCATCTGGGTCACAGTTATATTAGAGCTACCTGTGTTCCCCTGTCACTGAGATTAAAACAAAAATGTCCAATACAATCATTCACAGCATGGGAGAGGGGAAGGTGAAGGATGGAAAGGCCGGTCATAAAAGGATCAGAATTTAAGTCCATAAGGAAGTGGCTTTGTGCATTGTCTGTTGCTGTGTGCAAGGTGAAGGCTGGGGCAAGAAAATGTGCAGTAACAAGGGCTCCTTTGTCCATCTCACCTCTCTAGATACCAGGTTGCAGACATGTTGCATTTTAATTGAAAGGTTGATATAATTTTTTTTAAAGAACACTTGCAGTGTTTGAAGTGACAAAGGCTGCTGTGACAAAAAAGCAGGGAAAGGGATTTAAAAAAAAAAAAGCAAACAACAACGAAAACCCCACAAAAAAGCAAACAACAAACAAACAAAAAACAGAGGAGGAAGTCAGCTGTGACTACTTCCAGGAAGGGACTACAAGAGGCAATTGGAAATTCTATTCACTTTGCAACTGTGGGTTTTCCGGCCTGCTTCCTTTCTAAAGTATATTACTTTGTTTTTGGTTCATGAAGTTATCCCTTTCTGTTTTCTGGAACAGCTATGTATTTTCTTTATCTGTCATCTATCTACTTGCCTATCATCTATCTATTTACTATCTATCTTTTCTACCTTTCACTATCAAGAGCTGGGGTCAAGCAGGATAGAATTGCAGTGTATGTTCACTCTATCATTTAAAACAAGAGCTCTCGTAGGCATTCTCCATCGTATCACAAACCTGAGCTTTCTAAAACAGGGTGTGGCAAGCTACCATGGACGGGCCATGTCTGACGCAGTCTGCGTTTGTAAGTAAAGTTGTAATGGGACACAGCCACGTACATGTGTTATATGACGTCTCTGGCTGCTGTCATGGTACAATGGAAGAGCTGAGTCATTGAGAGAGAGAGACCGTAAGGCTTGGAAAACTTAAAATATTTAACATTTAGCCCTTTGCAGAAAATATTTGCTGACTCTTGTTTTAAAAAATCTCTGTTTAAAATGCTACCTATTGCCTTCTGGATAAAATCACAGCTCTTTACCACAATCGACACAGCTTCAGCCCTGCTTCTATATCCAGCCTCATCTATTATTTCTGCTCCTCCTCCTTATTTTCCTTCTGGCCATGCTGATGGATTGTCAGCTTCCCAGATGTGCGAGAATCTCTCCTCCCTTCCCGACATTCTCATGCTCTCCCTCTGCCTCTCAAGAACTTCCTGTCCCATCTCTCATGACAGATCTCTTCTTCATTCTTTAAGATGCAGCCCCTTTGCTCCTTCCTTAAGGATGCCTGTCTGGCTCTATTTTGGGTGACATGCTCCTTCTGCATCTCCCAGAGCCATCCTGTGTGTCAACTGTGGCATTTCTTTGCATCTCTGTGTCATATATCACCAAATCTGCCTAAGCTTGCGTGAGTCACTGCATGACAACTTCAGACTCCACCAGCATTGTCCCCACTAACCACGAGGCTTAGACATTTGTCCAGTATGCTCAGGGTTGTGGGGTGGTAGCAGTAACCAGCTGGTGAGCATCATTTCTTACATCAGAATCAAATCTGTAGATCTCTGCCTTTCATACATATTTGGAGTTTAAAATTAGCATAAAGATTTTCCTTAAAATAAGAACAAATGGCTTGAGTAGGCTTTTGGAATGTATGATATTTTCACTGGTTCATTTCTGTGTTCAGCATTCCCACATGAATCTAAACACGACTCTACTCTTAGTAACTGTGTGACCCTGGGACAGTCACTCAATCTCCCTCAGCTAAATTTTGTTGTGTGAGTAATGAGAAGAGAGTTGTGATTTGTATTTAGTGAATAGTAACAAACAAAAGGCATTTAGCTTTCTGGAAGCTGGTATGTAGTAGATCCTCATGAAATACTAGCTCTGTTGATAAAACTAGACCGAAAGAAGCTTTCAAAGTCAACAACAGTATCATGCAGTGAAGGACGTAGATAAGAAGCTGCTGCCGCAGCCTGCAGCTCCTGGAGGCCCCTTTTGTCCATGATTTAGCAGGAATGCACTACCTTTCCATGAGGAGACACTGCCCACAGAAACCAAGGCCATTCTTTGAAGACAAACATGTTTTAATAGTCTTTACATTATGTAATAGTGTAATATAAATAATAATTTATTATTAATAATACTGTAAAATTATTTACATTATTATGTTATGACTTTTGTACAGGCCTTTACACGCAGGTATTCTGAAGTTGGTGGTCTGTGAGTAGCATCGAGTGATGACTGACACACTCTGACCTGGGGTAGAACAACACGTTTGTTGTGCAGTTTGCTGAATTTCAGGGCATCACCACCTTTTTTCAAGAGTGTGTTTTCCTGTCCTCTAGAGTTTTGCCCACTTAAGCAATGGTTTTGCTGTAATAAAGAATGACACTATTGGCCAGGCACGGTGGCTCAAGCCTGTAATCCCAGCACTTTGGGAGGCCGAGACGGGCGGATCACAAGGTCAGGAGATCGAGACCATCATGGCTAACACGGTGAAACCCCGTCTCTACTAAAAATACAAAAAAAATTAGCCAGCCGTGGTGGCGGGCACTGTAGTCCTAGCCTGAGGCAAGAGAATGGCGTGAACCCAGGAAGTAGAGCTTGCAGTGAGTGGAGACTGCGCCACTGCACTCCAGCCTGGGCGACAGAGCAAGACTCTGTCTCAAAAAAAAAAAAAAAAAAAAAATTACACTGTTTATCAAAATATTACTTTGAAGAATACTGGTTCACATAGTTCAAGTTTTCTTAAACTATCAGGCCCATAGCTAATGCCAGTGGCTCCAAGGATGAGAAAGTAAAAAGGCCTTTTTTTCTCTCTTTTTTTTTTTTTGGCCAAGACACAAAAACACCACATTTCAAACTTTACTGTCTCATGCTACTCCCTGGAAAATTAAAAGTGAACATACTCCCCTCCCAGCCCAATCACAGCTAATGAATAACCAAGATCTCCTGCAGGTGCCTTTGCCTTGGCTCTGTGAGCCTGGAGTTGCTGACGGGCACTGGGCAGCAGGCAGCAGAGCTGGTCCCATTTCTCCATGTTTTCCCCACTCTATGGGGGACACAGGCACATTGAACAACCTGGGTCCTGGCCTGGCACTGGCTGGGAAGCTATTTGATGTCAGGCTCAATGTGGACTTCTGAGTTGAAAAGAGAGTATGGGTCACCCAGCCCCACTTACTCATTTTACCAAGAATGAAAATGGGGATCTATTCCAGACATGAGAGTACACATTGTAAGGCTGTGCAAGCTTGCCGCACTTGTATACACTCAGCACACACTTACTGATTGCCCAGCATGAGAGGGGCTCTAGTTCCTGGGGTCCCACCCTCCACAGAGGACAACAGCACCTCGAGGGACAGATGTGCAAACAGCAAGGTGGGGGCCCTTCTGCTGGAGAGGTGGCCTGGGAGGATCCTTAGAAGAAGTGACAGCTGAGCTCTTCTCTGAAGGGTGAAGCTGAATTACTTGAAGCTTAGGGTGAAGGGGTGTCCAGGGAAGTGGAGCCTGTGAGCCCAAAGTATGAGCGTAATGACTTGTCCAGAGAAGTGTAACAAGTTCCATGTTGTTTCTACGTGAAATCTGAACAGGAGTCACCAAAGGAAAGAGCAGGATCCTGGAGCCAGGGCCTTGGATTTCACCCGCTGGCAATGGTAATGGTCACTGGGAATTTTGGGGGGCAAAACGTGGAAGTGTTTCCTCTTAGCTCCAACTCTCTGTCTCTCTGTCTCTTTCTGTCTCTCTCTCTCTCTCCTCCTTATCTTTAATTTTTGTATTATCCGAAGAAAACACAGATGTCTCAGACGTGGGGATTAACAGTCTTCTTCTTTCTGGATGACTTCAGGTGAGCACTTTGGCCTCTGTGAGTTTATTTACAATAATTCACGAATCTTGCAAAAAAAAAAAAAAAGTCATGGTAGCAGAGGTTAGAGAATCTCCTAGTATTTCTTCTGATACTTTGAATTTATGATTAATATGTTTAATCTTCATCTTCTGAAAAGTCACCAGTTGCACAGTGAGGACCATAAAGGGAGTCTGTTTCTGTGGTTTATGGCTTCAACAGTCGGTGGTTTTGCAGCAACAGCATTGCATGTGGGTTTTAGGCTGATGATGCTCAACAGTGGACAATTCTCTTCACCTGCCTGGGCCCCACTGCCCACCCTTCCATACAGTGCAGGGTCACAGCTGAGCTCTCCGAGACACCTCACAGGATCTCAGCTTCTGAACTGTCAAGTGTCTTCCAGGTGAAGACTTGGTCTCATAGCCTTTGTGGCTTCCTCCAGGTAACACTTGCGTTTTTTACCTAACCCTGGTATTTGTGTGACATGTGTGTGAATGTGCTCCCTGTGGCAGCGCTGAGGAAGGACTCAGTCATCACAGATGCCAAAAGGCAAACGCAGTGTACTTTTTTCCAACATCTCCAGTCTTGTATTATTTTTACCCATCAGCCCATTTGAAAAAAGAAAAAAAAAAAGCTTCCTGTTCGAATTAAATTCCCTCTGGAGATAATAGGTATTTTTTAAATCAATCATTTTTTTATGGTCACATTTGCTCCCAGTTCCTGCCAGGATCCACTAGAGGGCAGACACACCCCTGTGTGTGGCGCTTGCTGAGTGGTAACAGGAACAGTGCCTGCCAGCATCCACTAGAGGGCAGACACACCCGGGTGTATTTGTGTGGTGTTTGCTGAGTGGTAATAAGAACAGTGCCTGCCGGCATCCACTTTCAGCACTGTGGGAGGCCAAGGCAGGAGGATCAGGGGTTTGAGACCAGCCTGGGCAACATAACTAGATCCTGTCTCCACAAAAAAATTAAAATAAAAAAAATTAACCAGGCGTGGTAGTGGGCCTGTAGTCTCAGCTACTTGGGAGGCTGAGGCAGGAGGATTGCTTGAGTCCAGGAGTTCAAGATTATAGCAAGCTATTATTGTGCTTGTAAATTGCCATTGCACTTCAGCCTGGGCAACATAGTGAGACTTGGTCTCAAAAAATTTTTTTCTTTAATAAAAAATTTAAAAATAAAGATTGCCGGGAAGTGTTGAGTTCTGAGTGATTGTGATCATGAATTTCAACAGAAAGTAATAACCCTACTTAAGTGATTTTTTTCCAGCAGCAAGCTTGGTTTCAAACAAAGAAAAGTAAATGGTAGGGTTCATCTCAGGGAACTTTCCAATGAATATATTGGAGAGACAGTCACTGAAGCTACTTGCATTATCCCATATAAATCATAAAACACCCTCCAAGCCAGAAAATTAGAAGTCATCTGATTGGTCACAAACTTATGTTAATTCTACCTTTTAACCCCCTTGAGCTTCTACCATCCAAATTCAATACTTAGCTGGATTACCACACTAGCCATATGTTCTATTCCCAGTCTCTACCTCCACCAAGCCACTTCCATCATACATTTTTTTTCTTTTTTTTTTGAGACGGAGTTTCGCAGACTGGAGTGCAGTGGCGTGATCTCAGCTTACCGCAACCTCCGCCTCCTGGGTTCAAGCGATTCTCCTGCCTCAGCCTCCTGAGTAGCTGGGATTACAGGCATGCACCACCAAGCCTGGCTAATTTTTTTGTATTTTTAGTAGAGATGGGGTTTCTCCATGTTGGTCAGGCTGGTCTTCAACTCCCAACCTCAGGTGATCTGCCTGCATTGACCTCCCAAAGTGCTAGGATTGCAGACATGAGCCACTACACCCAGCCGTCTTTATTATTATTATACTTTAAGTTCTGCGATACATGTGCAGAACGTGCAGGTTTGTTACATAGGTATACATGTGCCATGGTGGTTGGCTGCACCCATCAACCCGTCATCTACATTAGGTATTTCTCCCAATGCTATCCCTCCCCTAGGCCCCTACCCCCTGACAGGCCCCAATGTGTGATGTTCCCCTCCCTGTGTTCATGTGTTCTCATCGTTCAACTCCCACTTACAAGTAAGAATATGTGGTGTTTGGTTTACTGTTCCTGTGTTAGTTTGCTGAGAATGATGGTTTCCAGCTTCATCCATGTCCCTGCAAAGGACATGAACTCATCCTTTTCATGGCTGCATAGTATTCCATGGTATATATGTGCCACATCTCCTTTATCCAGTCTATCATTGATGGCCATTTGGGTGGGTTCCAAGTCTTTGCGATTGTGAATAGTGCTGCAATAAACATACGTGTGCATGTGTCTTTATA